ATTGGGCCGAGACCTGCTATCAAAATTGCAAGCCCAGATTTCCTTTCAACCGACAGGAGAAGTGACAATGACTACAGGGCAAACAGGAGAGCTTTCCTTAGAGGTACCCTTAAGGGAACACTGGCGCTTAATGATGGTAAAAGAAGAGGAGGGGACTATTCCAGAGGACCTCCTGCAAGAAGTTAACCCTGGTGTATGGGCAGAAAGCAACCCACCCGGAATGGCAAAGAACATCCCACCTGTAATAGTTAAGCCCAAGCCATTTGCTAACCCTGTGGCCGTGAACCAATACCCTATCCCCCGGCGAGCTGCAGAAGGAGTATGGATACATTTGGAACGGTTGCTTCGCCATGGCATCCTGAGACAGTGTCAATCTCAGTGGAACACCCCACTCTTGCCGGTAAAGAAGGAGGATGGCACGTACCGCCCGGTCCAAGACCTCCGATTGGTCAACCAAGCCGTGGAAACCCTCCACCCCAATGTGCCCAATCCTTACACGCTGTTGAGTTTAATACCTCCTACTGCCTGCTATTTCACGGTACTGGACTTTGAAGGATGCATTCTTCTGCTGCCGTCTGGCAGAGGAAAGTCAGCCCCTGTTTGCATTTCAATGGATGGATCCAGGAACAGGCACCAAGGTGCAATATACGTGGACGAGGCTTCCACAAGGTTTCAAGAATTCTCCAACCCTTTTTGGGGTAGCATTGGCCTCGGACCTGTCTAGCTTCCCCACCAGCCCACACAGGGTCTGTTGCAGTACGTAGATGACCTTCTTTTGGCCTGTTCAGACGAGGACACGTGTATGAAAGCCACCAAGGATTTGTTAAATCACTTGGCTGAAGCAGGATACCGAGTATCTAAGAAAAAGGCCCAAATATGCCAACCCACTGTAAATAACCTTGGATTTGTGATATAATCCCATCAGCAACGGACCCTTAGAGAAGAAAGGAAGCAAGCCATTATCCAGATTCCAGAGCCAAAGAATCGCAAGAGAACTTCGTGGCTTCTTGGCTCGGCAGGATTCTGTAGAATATGGATCCCTGACTTCAGCACAATTGCCAAGCCTCTGCACGAGTCAACCAGAGGAACTGAAAAGGACCCCTTGTGTGGGAGAGGAGCAACGGCAGGCCTTCAAGGATCTGAAAAGTGCATTGCAGCAAGCACCAGCGCTGGGTATCCCAAATCCTGAGAGCCTTTCTCCCTGTTGTGGATGAAGACCAGGGAACAGCGAAGGGAGTAGCCTATGCCAGAAATTGGGGAGTGGCAACAGCCCGTGGCATACCTATCTGAACGCCTGACGCCTACAGAACAAGGTTTACCGCCATGTATGAGAGCAGTTGTGGCAGTAGCCACCCTACTGAACAAAGCTGACAAATTTACTTTTGGCCAAGACACTGTTTGTGTGACTCCGCATGCAGTCCCAGCACTGCTTGACATGAAGGGTACCTATTTCCTCTCCCAAGCGAAGATGAGAAAGTGTCAGATGTTATTGTTGCACCCACGTCTGAAGTTCCAGGTCACCACCGCCCTCAACCCAGCTACCCTGTTGCCGGTAGGAGAAGGTGAGGAGCAGACGCACGATTGCATTGAAGTAATGGACGAAGTATATTCCAGCAGGCCTGATCTCAAAGACGAAGCAGACCCCCACTGGCTTTCATGGTTTGTGGATGGAAGCAGCTTTGTCGAGGCTGGGCAGCGGAAAGGCAGGCTATGCAGTGGTAGCCCTGGAAGACCAGGTGGTCGAAGCAAAGTCACTCCCACCTGGAACATCGGCCCAGCTGGCAGAACTAACTGCACTTACCAGAGCCTTGAGCCTGGCAAAGGGGCAGAAGATAAACATCTATACTGATTCTAAGTATGCATTCCTGACCTTACACGCCCATGGAGCCTTATGGAAAGAGAGAGGTTTGCTTACCTCCAGAGGAAACCAGGTGGCCCACCCACAAGCTTTGTTGAACCTTCTGGATGCTGTATGGGAGCCTGAAGCGGTAGCGGTTATCCATTGTTATGGACACACAACTGGACCAGGGGAAGTGGCCAGAGGAAATCGATTGGCAGACAAAGTGGCCAAGGAAGCAGCCCGGGAACTGGCCCCAGCTCCGATCATTGGAGCACTGATCCCAGAAGAGATTTTAAGCACCGCTGACAAGCCGGCTTACACAAAACAGGAAAGGGACACTGCAGACGCCCAGGAGTTGACATTGACCAACGAAGGATGGTACCTCACACCTGATGACAGGATATGGATTCCAGAGTCCCTGTCTCGGCAAATAACTCAGAGATACCATGAGTCAACCCACATGGGGCCAGATGCTACCACCAAGCAGCTGGCAAAGTGCTTCTATATAGCCCACCTTTATCAACTAGCAGCCCAGGTTTCCAGAAAATGCCTGCTATGTCAAAAGAATAATCCTAGAACCGGACCACTGGCTCCCCCGGGAGTTCAGCACAGTGGAACTGCACCAATGGAAGATCTTGTGGTAGACTTCACTGAATTACCCCGTTGTGGATTATATCGCTACCTGCTGGTGGCAGTGTGCACCTACACCGGATGGGTCGAGGCATGGCCAACAAAGACTGAAAAGGCAATTGATGTAACCAGGTGCCTGCTTAAGGAAATCATCCCTCGCTATGGGTTGCCAAGGTCCATAGGATCTGATAATGGACCAGCATTCGTTCATGCAGTCCTACAGGGACTGGCTAAAGCGCTTCAGATCAACTGGAAGCTGCATACTGCTTATAGACCCCAGAGTTCTGGAAAGGTAGAAAGAATGAACAGGACTCTAAAGAATCAGCTGTCCAAGCTGACACAGGAAACCGGGTCTAATTGGGTGGCCATGTTGCCCTTGGCATTACTCAGGGTCCGCAGTCTTCCGTCAAAACGGACCCACTTGTCACCTTTTGAAGTTCTGTTTGGGAGACCAGTCCCATATGTTAGAATGTTAAATCCGTATGTTAGCCAAGATGTGCAATTGAATAATTATGTACAGTCACTCTCCCGAGTTCTTTCTTATCTCCACAGGTGGACCCAGGCTCGCACCCCATGTGTGTTAACTGAACCGCTCCATCAGTTCGAGCCAGGTGACGAAGTGTGGGTGAAAGACTGGCAGCGAGCCCCCCTACAGCCCTGCTGGAGGGGACCATACACCGTGCTACTCTCTACCCCTACTGCTGTGAAGGTTGCCGGCATCACCCCGTGGGTCCACCATACTCGAGTGAAGAAAGCCATTTCGGATTGGACAGTAACACCAGATCCAGAGAACTCCCTTCGGCTGACCATCTCCAGACGCCTGGCAGACGACCGCTCTGCTGATATCACACCGGAAGCTGATATCTCAACGCACAGCTGAAGACTTGGATGGGAGGGGCGCCCGCGGGCAGCGTCCCCAACTCCGTGCCGGGACTAATCCAGGAAGTTCACCAGGACATTTAATATTTCCATAAGGACTTTCTCTTTCCTTTTTGTTATCTGCTCTATGTCCCACAGCCCTGACCCCACTGAGCCATACCGCCCTTATTGGCCTGCTGGCCTCTGCTACGACTGGTTCGTCTTGCCGGTAGTAAGAGATGGCGTGCTCATTGGCTATTGGAAGCTGGGGTTTGATGAGATTGCCGTATTGAAACACCCCACTGCCCCGTTGTGGCTCCTCTCCCACACCACTGTCCAGCACGCGTGGATAGTGCTCATACGGGAAGTTGCAGAGACGATCGAAATCTATCAAGTTCTGGACCGCTCTTGCTGTTGTGGGAGGGTAGTCAACTGTTATCTGGGCGGTAGAGCAGTGTACCAACCTCATTTGATAGACCAGGTCCTACTCTTAATCCAGGCGATAGATGGGACGGAACCTATCTTGATGCAAGTATTGCAGGGGTGGGAGCCTTAACCAGGTGTGCATTGAAATTGCTAAACAAATGCCAGTAAGAATTGCCACCTCTGGTCACTAGGGAGGCAGCACGAGAGTTCAATCCACCCGACAGGGTTAGTAGAAAAATTGACCCACATAGTGGGAGCATCAGCTCACCGGTGGGCTCTCATCCTTGAGGCTCAACAGGTAGTCGGGCACCAATATCAGTGGGCTCTTCAACAATGAGCACACCCCTGAATATTGGTGGGAGGAACCATGGAAGAATTGGGGTTGGTGGATAGGGGTTATCTCAACCGCTCTTGTCTTATGGATGTGTGTTTTCTTTTGCTGGCATGAGCGTCACAGGCTCTGCGGGAGACGACGGCCAGATCCTTCTATCCCCATGATGATCCTCATAGTATATCTTATGTTGGCTATTGTAGGGGGAGAGGCAAGGACTGGCAAGCAAGGCCAAGGGGGAACAGGTTTGTTAAACAAGACATCCAGGGGAGATGATTACCATAAGATGTGGGAAGACAATGTTTATATCAAGGATATGTTTAAGTTCGCTACTATGTTACAACTCTCCGATTGTTGGCTGTGTATGCATATACCACCTTATGCGCAACGGCCAGGTTTGATGCTACACGGAATTCCCATTGATACCATCTTTAGCATAGAAAATACGTTGAACCCCGAGGAAGCTCAATGGCCACCTGTAAAAATAGCCCTGTCCGAGCCAGCCTTTATTTGTTTGAATTTTTCTGAAGGGTCAAATCTAAGAGGGATTTACCCCAATTGCCATTATGTCTTAAATTTTGTATTCAATAGGACCTGTACCGCCTTCTTTCCTTATGGTAATACCTCCCGGTGTTATCAATCTGATACTAGCTCCAAATTACTGACAGACATGCACCACCTCCACGAAAGCTCTAGATCCAACTCTTCCGTTATAGCCCTGTTAAACTTCACTGAGGAGCAATGGCACATGAGCCTTCTGTTTTCGCAAGCCTTCCAGTGGTCAGAGCAACGCCGAAACACCAGTCGCCTTCTTCCGAAGGAACTATGGTTGATTTGTGGCGATGCAGCATTCAAAACTGTTCCCCGAGACCTTACTGGAGTCTGTACCTTGGGAATGGTGATCCCCCTTTATATAAGGTGGAAAAGCTACCAACATCTCTCAGGCTGCGTAACCGCAGGGCAGTTAATACACCTATTAACCACTATATTGGGACCCAGATATCACGAGCCCTGCTACCTTCTTTAGGGGCAGCCATGAATTATAGAGATCTCCATCTGCTGGCCAATTGGACAGAAGGATTATTCAATGATACCATAAAAGCATTGAAGGAGCTCAATCGAGAGGTGACTGCTATGAGGGAGGTTGTCCTACAGAATCGCTATGCTTTGGATGTGATGTTGGCCTCAAAGGGTGGGGTTTGTGCCCTGGTTCATTCTCATTGTTGTATGTTCATCCCAGATAATAATGTCAGTATTTCAGCCACCATCAACCACATGGAAACAATGATAGCTGAAAACCCGCTGAAAGCCACAGGGAGTGATGCATGGGGTTGGTTGTATTCCTGGCTCCCTGATGGCAGTTGGCTCAGGAATGTTATAGTATTATTAGCAGGACCGCTATTAATCCTTTTGCTTCTTTGCCTCTGTATCCCCTGCTTATTGCAATGCTTGCAGCAAATGATGCAAAGACTCCTGTCACGGAAGCTAGGGCCCACGGTCATCGCTGTGATGAGGGAGTATAGGCCCATACCCCAGAACGAACCTAAGTATTAGGTTGTTCAGAAGAAGAGGAGGGAGTGAAGGGAGAGGGGAACGATTAATCATTAATATTATCTACACATAGTAAATTCCTAGCTTATACACATAGTAAATTCCTGCACTAAGCTATTGTGGTTAAACAGCTCAAGACTGCAGTCGCTTGCAGAATCTAAATCAGACAGGTCAAGAGGCCGTTTCCTGCCTAACCAGCTATCTGAAACTGCTGATGTTAGCCACAGGTCAGAAGGTCGTTTCCTGCCTAGCCAGAAACTGCTGTTAACTAAAAACCACTAGCAAGATGTTTCCTGCTTTGCTTCTGCTTTAAGTAATGCAAGATAAGAGATACGAAGGGAATGCTTAGCTAGCAAAAGAAGACACGTGTACAAGGAGGTGGGAGGGGGTGCTTACTGAGCAGAGAAAATGCTTAACCAGCAGAGGAAGTGCTTAGCTAGCAGCCTTAGCCAGCAAATATTGATATGCCCTAAAAGGGAATGAGTTGAAAACTTGCCAGCTGATTGGGGAAGTTTTGGGGGGAGGTATGGGAGGAGGGTGGGAGAAGTTTTGGGGGGAGGTATGGGAGGAGGGTGAATGCTTTCAGGTATAAAAATGCTTGCTGAACATGGTAACAACACAGTCAGATTTCAGAAACTATATTCTGCTGGCTGTCTCTGTGCACAGATTTGCAATAAAACTCTTTTCTCCAAAGAAGAAACTTTCCTGGAATTTTTTATTCTCTTCTCGGTCCTGGGGACGCGGGTAAGCAATTCTCTGGCAAAGTAAAAGGCATAAGCCTACAATAAGTGGACTTATTCAGCAGCTGTTTCATCAGGGTAAAGGAGGGATGAGACTACATGGCCTTTACATTGACTCTCCTGAGAGCCTAAGAATGGCTGCCAGAACTTGCTGATCTCCTTTTCCCTCCCAGTCCACTTTTCTGTTGTGTCTCTTAGATTGCGAGCTGAGGGCAGGATCTGTCTTCTCCTTGATATTTGTGGAGCAGGATTAGAATGCCAATAATGATTAAGCGCGCGCGCACACACACACACACACACACACAGACATCAACCTCTTTTAAAAAACTTTTTTTGGGGGGACACAATAAAGGTTTGAAAATCTTTCTGTTGCCTTACAGTGCCTAACATGTTAAGTTTTGTTTGGTTTTAGGTTGCATTGCCTATTTATGTTCTGTGAGATAAATCCTCTCACCCTTAAGTGCAGACAGGAAACAGTGATCCTTTTTCCACACATGCAGGAGCATAAATAGCAGGGGTGGGGGGTGGGGAGAATAAGCGTACCTTCAGGGAGGGATAGCTAATCCAAGCTGTTCTCATTTCAGGCTATAAGCACTCTGCACATGCTCACATACTTGTTATTTGTTTGTATGCTCTAGGGCGGAGCCATGACTCCAATTCAAGCATGGCATCAGCCAGGCAGGGGTCTGAAAGCAAGGAATTTGGGACTTTTTGGTGGGAGGCGACAAACCGAGTTAATAAACCAAGCCTTGGATGGAGTTGCTGGATAGTTAAACAGTGTCTCCACACAAAACACACATTCTGCTTCATGAAAGGAGCCAGTTGCAGGAAACACATCTTCCAGCACCATCACTGTCTTTGCATGCTAGGAGAAGCTTTCCCAATGGGATTTCTGCTTCTGGAGCACATTAAGAGCTAATCAGATTATAGACCCATTAGAGGTGTAAAATAAATGAAACAGCACTATTGTGTTTTCATTGATTTTTAAAAAACTAAAAGCATATATATATATATATATATATATATATATATATATTATTATATAATATTTATACCCCACCCACAACAAGAGCTGTTTGAAGAATCGATGTGTCGTTTGATATGTTCACCCACAACTTAACACATGAAAGCTTATACCCAGAACAAACTTAGCTGGTCTCTAAGGTACTACTGGACATTTTAAAAAAAATATTTTTATTTATTTCAACTGCTTCAGACCAACATGGCTACCTACCTGAATGCAGTAGTCCAAGTGGGAGATAACTAGAGCATGCACTACTCTGGCAAGACAGTCTGTGGGCCGGTAGGGTCTCAGACGGCCTACCAGATGGAGCTCAATCTGTTGGCCACCATACATCCTCCAACCATCTCCAGATACTACACAGGACCTTCACCCCCTTCACTGGTTCCGACTTAAAAGAGAGGTAGAGCTGTGTATCGTCTGCACACTGGTAAACACTCAGCCCAACCCCCCTGATGATCTCCATATTCTTCTTCATGCTCAGGCTATGAACTAAAACATTCAGCTTGCTGGAGAGCTAGGCTGCTGGTGACCTAGTTGCAGGAGTGAATTGGCCAGTGACGTTACCATGGATGAATGCAGATGTATCATTGTGACATCAGTGTATGATGTCACACACAGAATGCGCTTCAAACCCCAGTGAGAGACAGTTAACAGTCAGACCCAGGCTTAATGCTGTGGGTGTTCATGACAGATGATGAAAAGGTAAAACATGGGGGCTATGGTATCTTTTACCAAAGGTTACAGCCAGATCAAGCTCTTAAAAGATCTTGGTGCCCCCATGTGTATCTAATTCAGGAAATAAGCACTAATAAACTGTAAAATAAAGATTGATTTTTCAAAATGAAGCAGAACCTACAGTAAGGTGGAAAATAACATTTATTTTGAATATTACCACTTTATATTTGAAAACAAACCACCTATTTTTTTCTAATTGCAAAGATCTGGGTAAATCCAGCAATGGAAAATTTCTGAGGTGCCCCCTTCCCTAGAGGCCCTGAGCACGTGCTTATTTTGCTTAATGCTTAATTCAGCCCTATTCTGGATTAGGGCTACTTGAGTTTGGGGCAGATTCTTGAAGAAGTGGAACCTTCTGAAGTGACTCTCACTGCTTGCAAATGAGGTTTTCAGCTGTTGAGGTTCTATTGCTCTTTGAACCACAATTCAACATTTAAAGACAATATGGATTTACACCAGTGCAGGTCAGTGAAATGGACATCTTCCGTAACAAGTCCATCAGATTATAAAACAGATAGGACTGTAGGGCCCCTCCATCCTTATTATACATTCGCTTTCATCATTCATTACTACTTCCTTTCACAATTTTTGTTTTTATTCATGCTTCTTTGATTCCATGCATAACAAGGTCTGAACCCAGATTGAAATGGGTCCAGTTAAGTGTTTGACTTCAGGTGGTCCCATCCATGTGGTCTCCCAACCGTTGCCCTGCATGACTTATTAAAGCTTGCAATGGGGGCATGAATTGGTGGATTCAGGAGTTGTCAATGCATTCTCATGGAAGAGGGTAGTCCTAGCTGTCTTGAAAATTGGTGGCTTGATCACTCCTTAATATTTCCAACATGAGCCTATTGGCTTATGACGACTACTGCGAACAGGTCGCTAATACTGGTTGTTTTGAAATTGAATGGTGGAATGGTGGAGACCGCCTCCCCATCTTGACTCTTCCAGAGAAGAGGAAGACAGTATAGTTTTATAACAGTGGTTTGTGGGAGGTCACAGCTCAGAGGCAAGTGAGGGGAATATTTCTATATATAAACTTTAAACTTTTCCAATCTTTTTCCACCATCTCTTCTCCCTGGTCTCGGATTCTGCCAGTCATTTCCGTCAAATCCATATAGTTCATCAACCTGGAGATCTTCTGTCCGAGGCTCTTAACTCTTTTCCAAGTCCCTTCTGCAGGTCTTCTTCATATTCTTTGATGCTGAAGAGCAGATCTCGGGGAGACTCCGGCCCAACAATGCTTTTATTCCTTCTCGACAGATCAGCCAGCTCTCCATAGTTAAAACTAAGGTCCATATAATATTTCAGGACATGTTTCAAAATTCCTCCAACTCCAAAGGCCCCCACAACCCAATCACCTCCTGGCCCAAATCCAGGTCCTAACAGTCAATAAATCCCTGCATAAAGGGATCTATCCAACTTTCCTTCTCCAGCCCAAGCAGGGCTCTGATTCTCAAAGGCTGACTTTTTCTATATTCAATCATAACAGGCCTCAACTTATAGTCCTCCATTTGCCTCTGTAAAGCTGGTGCTCCCACTTGTATTATTTTAGGTTCAACAACAACCACTTTCTCCTTCGTCTTCTCCCCAATTTGTCCTGTCGAAATAAATTCCTGTGTCAAATCCTGAATAATTTCTGTGTTGGTGTTCACTTTTTGTCCCAAACTAATCACTTTTTGTCCCAAGTTATCAATTTTAGTAGTCATAACATCCGTCTTCTTGTGGAGCTGTTCCAGTGAGTAGCTTATCTAACATAGTACAGTCACCAAAACTTCTTCTGTCAATATTCTTAAATGGTCCAAGGTCAATCCCTGATTCTCACAACTTCTTATCTTACAGCTGGAGATTCCCCAGCTCCACTCTTGTAACAGTTTCAAAAGCTCCCTCTAGAGGGAAACAGTCTCCACTTGCATCAATCCTTTCAAACACAGTTTAAACAATAAAATTAGTTTCAATTTTCAGTTACTTTTCCTCCTTTTTAACCGCAGAAGAGGACAATGGAAACAATATATTTCTCTTATTTAACCAGCTGTCAACATACGTTCTGTTCACAGTCAATGAACTCTCCCAAAACATCAATCTTACTGGCAGCCCGTTTCCAGGTTCAGAGCGGTGGTAATTTGATTTTCATCACTCTCTCCTGCAGGCTTGCTAGGTCCAAGATTTCTCCCCTCTTCCCCTGCTTCCAAGGGGGGTTTAATAATTTTAACCGATGGAAATTTACTCCTTTACAAAAGACTTTCCAGGACTTTAGCTTGCAGCATCTTTGCTTCAATTTATTTACAAAATAGGAAGGCGGACTTCCTGTTTGAAACCTTTCCGTTTCGGTGCCAAATTACGATGTTTAAAGATCCAATTTTCCGTTCTACTCACGGGTAGTTGTTTAAAGTCCAATTGCCCACAGGAAAAAGTCAGCGCTCTCCGGCAACAGCAATGCGGCTTCACTCCGTGAAAGAAGCAGTCGATTTGAAGCACTGCGCCACTCACCCCACGTCGCTCCGGATCCCCAAAACCGGGTTTCCCCGTGAGTAGGGGAGGCGCTAATGGTGCCAGCCGAATCCCAGGTCCACAGGCTTCTCCCGCCTGTGGTTTTTAGTGGGTCTCCGCCTTCGCCGCGGCGGCCAGACCCTGATTTCCATGGAGCGGGTTCCTCCCGATCAGAGGAATTCCGCCATTGCCGGAGGCGCTAACCCGGAAGTCCGGTAAGAAACCTTTCCTTGTCTTTATGCTTTCCTGGGCAACCAGCCAGAAGCTGCTGACAGCATCCTGACAAATTTCCCGAGTCAACTTTAATTGGCGGTTAGGTCATAAATCATGACAGATGGC